GAGGAAAGGTAATAAGGGAGAGGAAAAAATATGAGAAACTGAAAAAATGGAAATAAAGTGTTTGTAAATGGGGAGGGGAGGAGGGGGTGAAGGGAGGGCAGGGACAAGGGGAAAAATGAGAATCAATCCCTATTATGTAAAGGTACAGGATCCCAATGATGAATGTAATTGTATTGTATACCTAGATTGTACCAATAACCTCAATAAAAAGAAAAAAAAAGAAAATATATTACAGGACTCAAAGGTAAGATTCTAGAAGAAAAGACTAGTTAATATCAAATCATTCCTAACCTCATAAGTGACCCCTCTCTGAGTCCACTTTAGAGCCTCCAACCTCAGTACTTGCATAGAACAGATTGAGGGAGGACCAGAGCCTCCCAGGGTAGGCGTTGCTGGGATGTGTCTTAACAGCCAGCTGAGAAGGTGAATTGGCATTGGAGAAGATGGGGAAAGAGTGGGGTCCCAGAGCTGGCACTGTGAGGACAGGAGGAAGGAGTGGATATCACAGAATCAAAGGAGCACCTGAATTGCTGTGTTATAGATCTATGCAAAACACTGTGCTGTGTTACTTCTCATAGCAGCCTATTTACATCTCACTACAATTGCCATTTTACATATAAGGAAAACCAGACTCATAGAGGTCTGTTGGAAGAGTAGAGATTTGAATTAGGATTGCCCCGGTGCCCCAGGCACTTTCTACCAAACTGAACAGAAGTTTGATTAGGCTTTGGGGGGGGGTAGCAGGGATCGAACTCGGGTCCTTTTGCTTGTGAGGTGGCAGAACCACTGAGCTAAATCCCCAGCCCCATTGGCCTTTGTTATTGTTGTTGTTGTTGTTGTTGTTGTTTGGTATTGGGGATCAAACTTGGGTCCTTGCGCTTGCAAGGCAGGTGGTAGAACCACTGAGCTAAATCCCTGGTTTTTGGTGGGTTTTTTTGTTTGTTTTTTGTTTTTTGTTTTTTTGAGACAATCTCCCTGTGTAGTCCAGTCTGGTCTTGCACTCACTGTGTAGCCAGCCTGGATTACAGGTGTGCTCCACTATACCTGGCTGAGGAAGTTTGTTTCTTAACAGTTAGCATAACGGTGCACCCAGAAAGGGGTTAATAGAGATTTATTCACAGTAAAGATGCTTGGAGGCTGGAGGGAGAAATGAGTACATCCTTAAGCTTTGGAGCCAAGATGAATGAGATACTCCAATGCCCTCAATAAACCCATATTGCTATCAGCTGGACTGAGTTAGGAAGGCCTCCCAGCTCTAACAGCTCCCAAATGCCCTGTCTTTCTCCTTCAGATGCTTACATATATTCTGAGCTTCCTGCCTTTGTCAGATCAGAAAGAAGCCTCCCTCGTGTGTCGGGCTTGGTACTGTGCAGCCCAGAATGCCCTTCGGGAGGTAAGGTGCCCAATCACCTGCCCATCTCATCTCTCATCTTGCTCATGGCTCTGCTTGTATATCGTCCATCCATCCATTCATACGTATACATATATATGTATGTGTGTTACATATATATATATATATGTATGTATATGTTATACATTCATACATACTGGCTGCGGGTGTAGAGCTGGGCCTATATAGATGAATACGATGAAGTCCTGTAAAGAGCTCACAGTCCAGTGAAAAAGAAAGACTAGTAATATGAGTGATCACAATACCATGTTCTCAGTGCTGTGACACTGGAATGAAAGAGTGCAACAGGAACAAGAAGAAAGACATCTGAAGGAGGTTGACCAGCAGGATCAGAGAAGGCCTCCTGAAGGAACAAAATGACAATGAAGGTTGGTCTGCTAGGATGGATAACAGCACAGGTGGAAGCACTAAAGTGTGGAATAGTTCTGGAAACAACTGAAACTGAGATATAGGTAAGAGATGAGATTAGAATGGGTTCAGACTGCAAACGAGATGTGTGAGGTGACAGAGCTTGGGCTTTCCCTGGTCTCTGTCACCTTTAAGGGACATTAAGTGAGGTGGGTGATGGTGTATGATTTGTGTCTAAGAACTCTGCAGTGCAGAGTGAACTGGAGAGGGTGAGTCTGAGAGGGCTATGGGAAAGCAGTCCAGGTAGGAGGTGAATGCAGACCATCTATGCTAGTTTTTTGTTTTTTTTGTTTTTGGTACCGGGGATTGAACTCGGGTCCTTATACTTGCGAGGCAGGCACCGGAACCACTGAGCCAAATCCCCAGCCCCTTTGCTAGTTTTAATGATAGCTCTTATTTTCACTTAGCTTTCTATTATTATCAGTGAGGTTAAATAGTTTTTCCTTTTAGCTGACCATTTTTCCTCTCGTTTTTATTCATGTTCTTTATCCACTTAACTAGTAAAGTCAGTATTTTTCTTACCCATTTGTATGAACTTTTTTTATATTAAAAAGATTAATTGTATGTTTATTGAAATATATTCCTAATATGGTTGGCTTCTAATTTGATTGGTAGATGCATGTTTTTATTTATGAGACACAGAAATTAAATTTCTCTGTTGCCTCTGAACATGCCTTTTGTCTTAGTTTTCGTTTTTTGAGACAAGGTCTCACTATGCAGTTCAGGCTGGACTTGAACTTACTATGTAGCCCAGGCTGACCTCAAACTCATGGCAATCCTCCTGCCTCAGCTTCCCAAGTGCTGTGGTTACAAGCATGTGCCACCACACCTGTCTTTTCTTTTTTATATCTTCCCATTGTTTTGTTTTTTATACCGGGATCGAACTTGGGACCTTGCGCTTGCAAGGCAGGCAATGGGACCACTGAGCTAAATCCCCAGCCCCTCTCTCCCATTGTTTAAAGATCCTTGTCTCTTCAGAAGTTTAATATATACACTCATATTCTCTTTTTCAAAACAGGCTTTTAGAGCAGTTTTAGGTTCACAGCAAAAATATTTTTTTCTTACAGTTTGAATTTTTATTGGTGAAATTTATTTTTTATTGGTAAAACTTATTTTGATTTATGTTATGAAGAAGCTAACTAGGTTATTTTTCAAATAATCCCAACACTACTTATGTCTAATATTGCCCATTCCTATTGGGTTGGAATTCTCCTCAGTCACATATAAATGTATGTGTATAAGCAGGGTCTATTGTTGAATTATCTAGTGTCAGTGATTTTAGTGTCTAAAGGAATTTGATTCTAGATTTGTTGAAAATTTAAATTACAGGCTATAAATGGTGAAATGCAGTTGGTAGTTGGATTTCTAGTTGAATAATTCAAGGGAAATAAATATAGATTTGGGTTTCACTAAAGAATGGGAGGGCCAGGTGTGGTGGTACATGCTTGTAATGCCAGCACTCAGGAGACTGAGGCAGGAGGGTCACCACAGGTTTGAGGCCAGCCTGGGCTATATAGTAAACGTTCAAGGCCAGCCTAAACTATAGCAAGACATTTTCTTTTAAAAAGGTGTGTGGTGGGCGGCAGATTTAGTTCAGTGTTACTGCCACCTGCCTTGCAAGCACAAGGTCCTGAGTTTGATCTCCAGTACCAAAAAAAAAAAAAATGGGAGCCAGGCACCATGGTACCATGACACATACCTATAATCCCAGCTACTTGGGACGCTGAGGCAGGAAGATCGCAAGTTTGAGGCTAGCCCTTGCAACTTAGCAAGTTTCTGTCTCAAAAAAAAAGGGGGGGCTGGTGATATAGCTCAATGCAAAGCCCCTAGGTTCAATCCTCAAATACCACACACACACACACACACACACACACACACACACACACACACAACACACACACACAAAGGAAGGGATGGAAGTGAAGCCAGGGATCTGAGTAATACCCCCTCTCCCAGAGCAGGCCACAGAGAATGCCCTAGGGAACAGAAAGCAAGAAACATCTATAGAGGGGGCTGAGGAGATTCCACAAAGAGGAGGGCACAGAAGGCCAAGGCAGGAGAGCATTTAAAGGATCAAGTGGATGATTAATGGTGTCACAGCCCATAAAGAGACCAGCAAAATAAAGAACAATAGTGCCCATAATATATGCTACCCAAGGAGGCCACCCATGACTTCAATGATATCTAGCATCTGGGAAAAATGGCAGGTGGGTTGAGGAAAGGAATTTCTTCCTTGGAAGAACGGAAGTAGGCAGAAATGAGAGGGTAAGGTGGGCTTGACAAAGAGATTTTTATTAGGAGAAATCTTTCCCCTGCCCAGTACCAGGGATCAAATTCAGAACCTTGTGCTTGTGAGGCAGGCATAGCTCCATTGAGCTAAATCCCCAGCAGGAGAAATCTCATATGTGTTACATACTAAGGGAGAGAGTCCCTGGAGCAGGGATAAATGTGGGGGCAGGAAAGGTCAGGAATGATGGGTGCTGCCGAAGTTGGTGGCAGAGACCTGCTTCAGTGCACAAGGCCTAATCTTGCATATGATGGAGATATTTCTTCTTCCTGAGGAAACAGAGGGGTGGGGTGGAAATATGAAGCTATTTGCAGAGATCTGCAGAGGAAATTCCTCAGATGCATCTCCTTCCTCAGTAGCCACTTTATTTGGTAAATTTGGAGGCCAGGATGTCTCAGGAAAGTGAGAAGAGAGCCTCAGCAGAGAGGTTTAGCCTAGTCAAAAGGCTGAAGGAAGATGGAAAATTACTTGAGATACCCTCAGATGTTTCTGTCTGTGCTAAGCACTATGCTGGGTTCTGAGAAGGTGAAATTGAGTAATACACACCATTCAGCAGTTCATAGTGAGGGAGACAAGCACAAGCAAAGAAGGGTATATTTGGAATCTGCAAAGTGTTTTGGGAATGGAGAGAAAAGATTCAGAAAAGACCCCATTCAGAAGACTCAAGAGAGAAATAAATATTTGCCAAATTTAAATGTAGGAGTAGGTGAGAAGTGGAGACCTCCCCCACCGCACAGCAGCACAAGACAACAGTCAGAAATGAACTTGCCACAGAATCTGAGGCAGGAGGATTGCAAGTTCAAGACCAGCCAGGGCAGGGCAACTTAGAAAGAACCTGTCTAAAAAAAAAAAGAGCAGGGGGTATAGCTCAGTGGTACTTTCCTAGCATTAAGGCCCTTAGTTCACACAGACAGGGGGTCGGGGGAGAGGAGATTCTCAGAGCTAGGCTGGGAAAGGGGGCATGGGAAAAAGTGGGTGGGCTAAAGAATTAGGCCATGGTCTGACACAGACTGGAATGCCAGCCAGGAAGCTTAGCTTCTGTGCTGTGCACAAAGTGTGAGAGCGTGGTCAGATTTGCTTTTGGAAGAATCACACTACAGATAAGATCAAGGATGAATTGGAGCCAGAGAAACTGGAGGCTAATACCCAATGAGGAGGAAGCTCTGTGACATACTCCTGGCAGACAATAAGGTGACCAGAATTAGATAGAAGCAGTGAGTTGCAGCAGAGGGACAGAATTCAGTTTATCAAGAAAGTGGAATGGGGCCTGGGGATTTAGCTCAGTGGCGGCACTGTACCTGCCTTGCAAGAGCAAGGTCCTGAATTCAATCCCCTGTACAAAAACAAAAACAAAACAAAACAAAAAAAACAACCAAGTAGAATGGAAGGGACTTTGATCATTGTGGAGGAAGGAGAATGAAGGTGACTAGAAGTTGTGAGAGTTTAGGAAAGCAGAGTTGGATAAAAATGGTAATTCATTCTCTCTCCTTCCCTCTCCTCTCCCCCACTCTGGTGCTCGGCATCAAACTCACCACAGTGCTACATCCCAACTCTTTTATTTTGAGACAGGGTCTTGCTGTGTTACCAGGTTGGATTCAAGCTTTCAACCCTCCTCCCTCAGCCTTTGAAGTAGCAGGGATTACAGGGGTGAACCATCATGCAAGATGTCAAATTCAGATTTGGGCATGGTGTGTTAGGGCTGTCTGGAGAGAGGTCCATGAAACAGCTGACTGCTAGGGTGTGCTGTTCAGGAAAAATGATGTAGACCAGAAAGAAAGGAGTTGGAAGGATTGCCTCATGGGATGAAGTACATTATCCCAAAGGGAACACAGAAGATGACACAGCAAGTGTGTATATGTGTACTTGTGTGTGCTGTCCAGTGGAATGAACCAGTGGGAGTCCACCATTTGAGGTGGAAGGGTACTGGGAATCAAACTCAGGACCTTGCACTTGCAAGGCAGGCAGGGTGCCACTGAGCTAAATCCCCAGCCCAAGGCAGTCCACTCATTTAGGTACCAGTTCTCTCTTCTTTGATGACTCCAAAAGAAACCAATGAGTGAGCTAGAATGTAAAAAGACGGCAACAAGGGCAGGGTCTCTGAACCCCAGTGGGAGGTAGCATCAAGGGAATAGCTGTTGACCTCCCATAACAGGTAGCTTGGCAGAGTGGACACTAGGAGGTTGAAGAGAAGCATGACCCTGCAGGTGGGGAGCTGCTGCCAAGGACGAATGGTTCTGTGGTGGAAGGGCGGAGGGGTGAATGGATAGGACAGGCAGGGCATGGGGGTTGGGGTGCAGGGGTGGGTATTGGCCCTTGGTGGCTAGATACTGGATGTGGGTGTGCCCTTTGCCTCCAAGGATTATATAACTGGAAAGGAAGAAATGTACGAGGAGAAAAGGGACTACATGTTAAAAGGAGCTTTTTTTTTGCCGTTTAAATCTCTTGTTAGCTGAGCGGTGTTGCATGCCTATAATCTCAGCACTCTGGGAGGCTGAGGCTGGAGGATTGCACTTCAAGCCCAGTCTGGGCAATTTAGTGATTTTAGCAAGACCCTGTCTCTAAATTAAACAAAAAGAGGAGCAGGGAGGGGATATGCTTCAGTGTGAAGCTCCTAGGTTCAATCTCCAGTACTGTGCATGCACAAACACTCGTCCCCTCTCCCTCTTTCCCTCCCTCCCTCCCTCTTTCCCCCAGTTTGTGGACTCTAAGGAAGGAGCAGGAGAAAGGCAGGAAGTGCTAAACAGAAGAGGTGGGGACAGCTTAGCAGGCCAGAAAAGGGTTGCCAGCAACAACAACAACAAAAAAAAGCAGGGAGGCAGGAGGTAAACATCTTACCTGATGGCTTTGGCTCCTTTCTGAAGCAGAACAGGTCATGTCTGAGAAAGCCAAGCTGGAGATGATGGTGGGCTTGGAAAGGACACTGTGAAACCCGAGAAGGGAGTGGGAAGCTGGACCGGCAAGAAGAAACCTACTTCCCCAGCATCTTTCCGTGTCCCGGACACCAACCCCAAGGAGGCATCTGGTTTCTAATCCCCCGCCAGGCAGAGAGAGTGAGCACAGCAGTGTGATTAATGCAGGGTGGCAAGTCCTCAGGAGAAGTAGTGGAGGCAAGAAGCCTCCTGGAGACCAAAAAGGAGAGAGCAAGAGAGACACAGTGGGCAGCTAGGTCCCAGGGCATAAATGAGGTAGAGGAGAAACAAGGAGAGAGGGAGGAGGATAGGGTCAGAGGGTAGGGTCTTGGGAGTCCACCCTTACAGACCTGGGCTTCTCTCCAGATAGAGTGTTGACAGTGGGACCACAGGCATCTGGGAGCCTAGGGCCCTGGCCATACCTCGACACCACTGTATCACAGAGAGCATGTGCAGACTGTGGTGGGCAGGAACTATCTCCCAGGGTCCAAGTGTGGGCAGGAGGCAGTGCCTGTCACTGATTCTATGGAAGACATTGGGCTATCTAAGCCAGGCAGGGGCCTGTGTCTCTCATGACCAGGCTAAAATGATGGACCTGATGGTTTCTTATTCCCTCTGACCTGCCTCTGCTGTTCACTTAATCCTAGTTTGTCTGTAAGGATGCAAGGAAAGGCAGTGCTCCACAGGTACCCAGACTCTGCCCAATGCCCTGGGAAGACCTATTGTCTGCCCTTGGGTTGGTCCCTGTGGAACAAGAGCAAAACATAGCTCAGGTTCTGCCCTTTGCTGCTTTCTCCTGCCTGAGGGGTTTAACTCCTCTCCAGTGACCAATGCCCCCGAGGACTGGGCCTGCATTTTCCCTTGGTCTTCTGGAGGAGAGCAGGTGTGTTAGCTTTGGATTCCTATACTGAGAAGAAGAAAGCACTTTCTCTAGCAAGTGGCTCTCTAAGCCTGTACACAGGCCTGCTGTACCCGTGCTGAGCTTGACTGGGTATTACAAAACCTGACCTCCCACACTCAAGGGACTTGTATCACCTTTAGAAGGTTTAGGTCATCTCCCACACGATTTTGCAGTTGCTTCTAAGATGCTGTATGGGGAAAGGAAGAAAAAGGGGGACTAGATGGTCCCTCTTTGGTTGGGCCAGCTGAAGCTGGAGCGGTGCCCTTGCAGTCCTCTCTTGGGCTGCTAGAAGCATCTTAGGGTTTGGGAAGGACCAGAGTCCAGAACCTAGGATCCCTGCTTCTTCCCTCTGCTGTGTCCCCACAGAGATAATCATCCCTAAAGAGCTGCTCCTGGGGGGCCGGGGATTTGCTTCTCCACATCTAGCTGACTTTTGGCAAGGTAGGCCACTGGGTGATGGTGTAGAGCAATGGTGGTGAACTTAGGGCATGTGTGCAGCAGCAGGGTTTGTACCACTGGAAGCTCTGAAAGGTCCACCATCTGGTTTAGAGGCTGCCCCTCTGTGCCAAAAACACATGGGGTGGGTAGGGGAAGAGGTGGTCTCAAATCTCCTCTCTCTCCTGGCTGACCTTCAGGCTAGCCCTGTCTATTTATTCTATGGCTTTTGCTGCCAGAAGCCAGTCCTGGCCTAGGCCCTGGGGAGACTGCCAGTGCTTCTCCTTGGCTGTTTGTCCACCTTATTATTCATAGGGGAATCCTGTTATTCACAGGAGAAGAAAAAACATTCTTGGCTGCTTAGGCTTTAAGGGAGGGAAAAAAATTGAGTACCTGCAAGTGCCCCTGCAAGAACTGGAGCCTGCAGTGCTCTTGGATTCCTCAGCACATGTGAGTGGTGGGGGTGGGCACTGCCTGGGCAACCGCACTGCTCCAAGCTCCCCGACCCTTGCCCATTCAGCATCAGACTGATTCATCAGTTCTGCAGGGCTTGGCATTGGCTGGCGACATGCTTCTCCCTTCCTTTCTATAACTGTTCTCTAATCTTTTCCTCTCTCTCTCTCCCCAGCTGAATCCCACACTGGAGTCTTCTTCAGCTCTCCTTAAATCTGAGGGAGGGACCAGGCCCCTGGACCCATAGCCCCATCAGTAAGGGAACCTGTCATGCACGCTCCTCTCACTGGGAAGGACCATGATCCAAAGTTGGGTGTGGAGGAAGGGGAATCTGGCTGATTCCTGATTGTTGTGACAGAGACCACAAGCTGAGTCTATCTCTTATACATACTTCCCACCATGGCAGGCGTGTGTGGCCCCTCTGGCAAGAACCCACACCTAAGAATGAGTTCTATGCTTTCTAGGAGAATCCTATTGATAAGACTTGGCAGAATCCCATTCTGTCTGTCACTTCTACTCTTCTCATTCCTTTTTGGTGCTGTAATGTGGGATGTGAATAGGAAACAATGGCATATTTTGCAGTTACCAACAAGGTAGATGTGTGGGTATCTTGCTTTCCTGCCTCAGGACCATGAAGATACTAAAACAGAGCCTTGTTTGAGTATCACTTGCCTGAAACCTGAGCAGAGGTTGGGAAATGGCTAAGATTTTAGAATCCAGGCCCTCTCATCCTTTACCCACAAACCTATTCTGCACAAATTGACTTCTTCTTGGTTCCCTCTGGCACAAGATCTGGGAACGTTCTCTCTCTCTTAGCATGGAGATCCCAGACTCCTTCACAAGCCAGCTTATTCCCATAACTTTGCCCTCAGTTTGCCTTCGGGGTCCCACCCCACTCCAACCACACACCCCCATTCTTTCTCTGCAACCCAGAGCTAGTTCAACTATCTTGGTACCCCAGATACTTGTTCTATTATATCTGGCCCACTGAAATTGGAGGATTTTCTTTCCTCATCTGGACGGATGGTTGTCCCCTCCAGAGATGTGCTGGAGGGATCCTTAGGGCCCAACTCCAGGGAACACACACACACTTTTGCTTACACACAGAGTCAATTTTTGTAATCATTCATATGCCTGAGACACTGAGGCTGCCATGGAACTTAGGCTTCACTGCCTGCTCTAGACCTCTGGCACCTAGGCCACAAAGCGTTGTAGTGAATGGCACCTGCTTCACTTCTTCCTACTTCCTATTGTTTTTAGGGCTATTTATATTCTCTCTAAAAAGTGGGGAATGCTGGGTGCTTAGCTACAGCCAAATTCCTGGAATAGGAGACCAGTTCTATGGATCTCAGGTCCTCCTTCTGAGAGTCTCAAAGGTTGGGTCCAGTATACTTTGTCCTCCCATCTTAGGGAGTTTGCATTGGGCCTGCTTCCAGGTCACATCACCTGGAAATCCTGTGTTAACCACACTAATTCCCCACTCTGTCCCTGCCCCTCCTGAGGTAACCAATGCCTGTCTTTCACTGACCTTCCTGCCTGCCCCTGGTAGTCATCTCCCTTCAGACCCCAGAGTGACTTATCTTCCTGGCTTCCACTTTTTTTTTTTTTAGATAGGGTCTTTATATGTAGTTCAGACTGTCCTTAAACTCACTATATAGCCTGGGGTGGCCTCGAACTCACAGCAGTCTTCCTGCCTGAGCCCCCCAAGTGTTGAGACTACAGATGTGTGCCACCACATTGAGGCATATTCCCCCACTTCTTACCCAGATTTCCCTTAACCACACAAGACATCACAGTGAGTCCTTATCCTGATCCTGGAAGGACACTTCCTGACCTAACTCCAGGCTTACTGCTCCCCTTAGGCAAATGTTCAATACACCATCCCAGTGTCCTCTACCTCCCTCCCAGCCATCAAGAGCTTGGGCCTCAGAGGAATCTCCTGCATTAGCCTGACCAACTTGGATGGCTCACTTACCTCACAGCAGGTGCTACAATCTGTTGCCTACCACCTAGGCCCACACCTGCAAAGCTTGTGCCTGGGTAGGGGCAGCCCCACAGAGGCATCCTTTGTGGCCCTGATCCTAGGATGCCCAGCCCTACGCACCCTTGACCTCAGTGGCTGTAACAGCCTCTTCACATCAGGCATGCTGTTGTCTCAGCCTGAGACAGCACAGAATGTCCAGCAGGCATTGAGCGGCCTCTGTGAGCTCAACCTCGCTGGCCTGCGAGACCTGGGTGACCTCAGCTTCAACCAGCTCTGCAGCTGTGTCCCCAGCTTGGAGCGTCTCTCCTTGGCCTATTGCCACCTCACCTTCCAGCTAGGTGCTGCTCAGCATCCTATCAACCCTCAGGACTCCTATTATTCCAAACTCTCCTTCTGCAATGTGCTCCGATTTGTAAAAGAGCGAGCTGGCAGACTGCGTGCCCTGGGCCTGAGTGGCACTGGCTTGCCACCCGAGGCCCTGAAGGCTCTGGGCCAGGTGGTTGGGTTGCAGCTGCAGGAGGTGAGCTTGCACAGCTGCCGGGACCTCTCCACAGAGGCTATGGCCACCCTGTGCCAACAGCAACCAAGTCTTACCTCTCTGGACCTCAGTGGCTGCTCAGAACTGACTGATGGGGCACTCTTGGCCATGAGCCGCGGCCTGCAGCACCTGCAGCTCCTAAGCCTGGGGAAGCTGCAGCGGCTGACAGATGCAGGGTGCACAGCCCTGGGGGACCTGCGGCAGTTACGGAGCCTGAACATGGCTGAATGCTGTTTGGTGAGTGGGCAGGGACTGGCCCAGGCCCTGGGCTCAGTGCATGGAGCTCCACCCCCACTGACCACCCTCAGGCTGGCCTACTGCTCTTCACTGAAGGTGAGCACACCATCCTCTCCCTTTTTCTCAGGGTGGGGGCTGGGGGAGCTGGGCCCGTGGCTGCAGGGACTACTCGTGTTTACATCCAAGGAGTACTAGTTACAACTGAACTTGGGCCACAGTCTAGAGGATGGTGCTGGTGCACCTCCCTGGAGCCCGCATTGTGGGTCCTAGCAGAGGGAGGTCCAAGACAGTACCTCACATGCCAAGTGACTGCTGCAGTCTTGGCAGGGGCACTAAGGACAAGTGTTCTGAAGCAGGAAGGCTGGAGAAGAGGAAGGCAATGGAAAAGAATGGCAGGGAAGGTGCACTGAAGAAGGCGTTTAGGCAGAGTATGTGGAAGATACTGTGATGTGGGAGCCTAAGGGCCACTTCCTGGCTAAAGCCTTCATAGGGCTCAACCCTGTTTCACTGGGCAGCATCTCTGTCTAAAAATGTCAGTCACTTTTTATTGGATTATTCCTTCAACCTATCACTGTGGTGAGGGCATACCCAGCCTAAAATGCCAACCTTATTTTGCACCATCTCTTCTCTGCCCATTCCGTCTTCTGTCACCAAAATCTTTTAGCTGCTCTCCTACAGAGTCTCACTTTGTAGTTCAGGCTGGCCTTGAGCTCACTGTGTAGCCTAGGCTGACCTTGAACTTGTGGTGATCCTCCTGCCTTAGCCTCCCAAGTGCTGGGTTTACAGGCTTGCACCACCCTGCCAGGCTCCACTGCATCTAAAAACAATTTCCTCTGCTCTGCCCTTAGATCCTGCTGCTCTCACCAGACTTCTGGCAGGTGGGGGCCCTCACCACCACCACCTCAGAGTTCTGCTTCAAATTCTGGAGGCAGCATATCTCATTGGCTCAGCTAGGGTCAGCTGTTCACCCCTGGTCCAGTGAGCTGTGGAGCAGACAAGCTTCCAGCTGCTTTAGAAATTTTCTCACTGTATCCTTCCTGCCTCAGAAATAGAAAAGGCCTTTGTCCTTCAGCAACTTCCTCCAGGCATCCCATCCTCTTATCCCACCCTGTCTACTTCAAACTTTCACAACCAGCACAGGGACCTGGGCCCTCTGGCATTTCCTGTTGACTTGGGGTAGAAACCTGGGACAGACCCCCCTGCTAGTGACACCTGCCAAGCCTGGTAGCACAGACACAAGCTATTACTACAACCTCTCCTTTCCACCTCCCTCCTAGGATGCCTCAGTGCTCTCTGTGACCTCAGCATTGGGCCCGAGCCTCAGGGTGCTAGACTTATGCTCCTGCATGGCCCTCACCCACCAGACCATACAGGCCATCTGCACCTACCTCACCCGCCTCTCAGTGCTTCGCCTGGGATGGTGCAAGGAGCTCCAAGACTGGGGGCTTCTGGGGCTACAGGAACCATCTGAGGAATCTGCATTGGGTCCCCAGGTGAAGACCCTGGAGGTCAGGAAGGATGGGGCAGCCCCTGGCTCACCTGCCTTCCTGCTCCTTGAGTCCCTCTCTCTCTCTAGGAGCATTTAAAGGCAAATTCAGAAAGGACTGAGAAGCAGGGGTTTCTTCCCACAGCTGCACCCAGAAAGGGAACATCAGGCTTCAGATCCAAGGATCCCTTTCTCTAGCCGCGGGGCCCCTCCCTGCTCATGCTGCAGGCCCTACAGGAGTTGGACCTCACAGCCTGCACCAAGCTGACTGATGCCAGTCTGGCCAAGGTGTGGATAGGCCAAGGATCCTGGGGCTGGAGCATGGGGACTGGTCTAACCCATTTTTTACTTGGAAAAATGTACCTTTCTTATTGGCTTCTGGTCATTCCCCTGAATTGGGACAGGGAACCTGGAAGGGCTCCAGGCTCTAGGATCCAGTGCCATATTCCACCCACCAGCTCTACCCTTACCCTTGCAGGTGCTCCAGTTCCCCCAGCTGAGACAACTGTCACTGAGCCTATTGCCAGCACTCACAGACAACGGTTTGGTGGCTGTGGCCAGGGGCTGCCCCTAGCCTAGAGCGCTTGTCGCTGAGTCACTGCAGCCGCCTCAGTGATGATGGTTGGGCCCAAGCAGCTGGGTCCTGGCCCAGGCTGCAGCACCTCAACCTATCCAGCTGCAGCCAGCTCACAGATCAGTGAGTGGATCTGGTGACAGAGCAGATGGAGCCACAATGCAGGGGTGGGGTGGGGACCCACAATGGGTCAGGCACTCAGCCAGTGGCCTCCCCACAGAACACTGGACACCATTAGGCAGGTGTGCAAGCAGCTCCGAGTGTTGGATGTAGCCATGTGTCCTGGTATCAACATCGTGGCTGTCAGGCGCTTCAAAGCCCAGTTACCTCAGGTGACTTGTGTCCAGTCTCGCTTCGTGGGAGGGGCTGACCTGACCCTGACACTGTGAGGCCAGGTGAGTATCCAGTCCTGCAGCTCAGCCTTCTTCACCCCACAGCCCACCCCAGCCCAGGGTTCTGGACCTGGAGTTTGCCCCAGTGCCTCTTGCCTCCCTTTGCTGTAGATGCCTTGTCAAGGAATGAGGGTGGGACCAACCCAGGGCAGTCCAGCAGACTTCCTGCTCCAGCCTGTCCCACAGCTGGGCAGCAGCCTATTTTCAGCTACATGTCACTGCCACAGGCCCCTGGAAATGCCAGCTACATGCTGCTGCCACAGGTTCCTCCTGAGCTCCACCCGCTTCCTTGAAGCACGCTTCCAGCTCCCACAAACACCAAACTTTAGCAGCTAAGTTAATTTTACTGTAAACCCAAACAAGATTAAAAATTCCAGATCTTGTCTCTTATCTAAAGTTCTCAGACTAAACGGTCCCTCCCCTCCCCACCTCAACTGACCCAAAGCCCCACAGGTGCTCCTATGTTGGCCTCAAGGCTGGTCCACACTAGTCTAACTCAAGTTCTAACTCAGCTTCTTCCCCATGTGGTAGACTCTGAGGCCTTTCCCTGCACAACATCCTGACATGCAAAAGGCCTTTGTCTCATGTCAGACCCCAGGAGGAACTGATTAATGATGCCTGATTCAATGAGGATGTCTTGAAAGGGACAGAGGGCAGTGGGGAAGCATCTCTGGGTGGAGGGTTCATTTAGAGGTCATCCAGTCCAAGCCCCTAAAATGCGAATGACTTCTCAAGAGCAGCTCTGAGAAAGGCTTTTCAGCTAGTCTTCCATATATTCACATACACTGTCCACCTATCTGCTCATCTATTCTAGGAGCAGAATGTGGGTACCTGCAAGCACTGTACTTCATGTGGGGATTCAGAGATACCTAAGCTCTCTTGGGTTCCCTTCAGGCCATCTAGGGAAGCAAATAAGCCAAAATGCAGAATCAGTCCAATATGCACGTGTACAGTATGCAAGTAACTAGGGCCTAGAAACCAATGAACTTGACCTACAGGGTCAAGGAATCAAGGCAGTTAAAAATGGGCAAGAGGAAGGGAAGGTAGTGATTCAGGGACAGTGATTCAGTGAGTAGGTAGTGACCACAGGGATACACGTAGGCAGCTAGAACTGCCACTGGAGGGGTGTAGAAAGGATGCCAGCTTGGACCAAGCACTAAAACCCTTGCAGGGCACAAATTCTCAGGTGGAAGCATTAAATCACAAAATGTTTTCAACCTATCCAGCTCAACATAATGGTCAACCATAATAACCCAGACCACTAGCCCATGGACATAGGAAGACACTGAAGAATAGTTGTGTGTGTGTGTGTGTGTGTGTGTGTGTGTGTGTGTGTGTGTGTGTATAGTCATATCCAGTTTATGTTTGAAGAAGCAGTTGGAGTAGCCATTATTGAGATGACTGGAAGAACAAGACTAAAGGCTTGAAGTCAGGAGGTCGTTGCAAAGATTGTAGAATGGACAAGGGACTAGATTTCCACTTTGAACTCAATAGCAGGCTGTTCTAAGTGTGGGAAGTGATGGGAAGTCTCAGAACCTGGATGCCTGAGGATCAGAAGTGTGACTAAGGGATGAGGGGAAAGCGCTAGCCTAGCACATTCTCCAGGTCATTTCATCAATTTTCAAGGTAAAACATTGATGGTTAACGCTTAAACCTCATTTGAGGAGGAGTTGGGAAATAGTGGCATGGAAAAGGAAGTCAGGGTGGGGGAGTGTTCAACCTGCTCAGTGAGTCCTCTGGGTCTTCCTCAGGGTTTGCCTCAGGGACTTCAGGTTTGTGACCACAGCCTGATTGGCTGAGCCAAACATCCCTTGCTCTGTCCTCAGGGCTTCTGGCTATCTGTGGCCTCCTACTCATCAGCACTCATGGGTTAGGTTTTAATCAGAATACAAGGCCTCCTACACAGAATTCCCACTTGTCCGCATCACCCAGATGGCCCTACCACACTGGGGATGCCCTTGGGAATTTAAAACCTGCTCTTCAGCAGAAAGCAGACCCAGCATCACATCTCTCACTTCATGCCTCTCTCCAAGCCTCCAAGTCCTCCAAGAGGACACAGCACATTGCCAAGCAGGGTTAAGGACTAAAGTCAGACTGTCAGGAGGCTTCTGAAAGCATGGCTCCTCGACTATCAGTGCTAATCAGGAAGGCATTCATTTAGGGCACTGCCTCCTACCCTGCTACTTCTGTCTGATCTCTTGCCCCCAGACCATAGTCCATCCCTATCTGCAGACCCAGCACTGAAGGAGGCTGAGGACTCATCTTGGAGAAGGGCAACAGTACCAGCCTGGTCCCACTTCCCTCAAAAACACCAGTACCCCAAAGTAGCTGCCAAGTTTGTGATCCTGCTGATGTCTTATGTTATCCACTAGCTAAGTTTGAAGACAGAAAAGGATGACTGTCCCTATCTGTCACAGGAGTGGCCCACAAGGTTCAGAGCTGGCTTGACACAGTACATAAAGAGCCAAGCAGACTTTATTTCTGCTGCACACTTTGCTGTTTGGGGTGCCTGTGCTTCTCTATCTTCCACTTTTTGTGGCTGCTGTAGTAGAAGCAGCAGCTATAGGCTTTGGCCAACCTCAAGGTTCAGCGATGTTGCAGTCATAGCAGAAGTTGAAGTTGGTGGGGGGCGGGGGCACAGGTGGTGGCTGGTCAGGGATGGGCACATTCTCCAGCTCCAGCAGCTGCAGCTTGGTCTCCATGGTCAGCAGCTGCTCTAGATCCAGCCGGGTCTGCTCGCTGCCCATGGGGCTACCTAGCAGGGTACTCAGCCCATCTGTCCATAGGTAGTACTGGGGACACACAGGGCCAGGTCAGTGAGAACCTGCCCGTCCGTGTCCCCTGTCCATCTGCTCAACTCAGCCTGGCCCTGACACTTACATCCCGTTTGGAGGGGGCAATGAAGTTGAGGTATGCCTCTTCCTCACCTCGGTCATAACTGATGGAGAAAGCCAACTCACAGAGGTCCTAAGGAAGCAGGCAGTAGGGACACTTAGCAGGAAATGGGGTAGGCAGGAAGAAGCCCCTGCTCCACTGTACTCACCTTGTTCTGCTTCCCAGAGCCCTTCTCCCGGACATGAGGGCAGTCCTTGCCTGTTAGGAGCACCCTGATGTCAGCCACAGGGACTGCAGGAAGAAGACTGGGCTGACCACTGGGGTCCTAGGCAGCCCCAGGGAATGGGATATCAGGGGAGGGTGTGTGTTAAACCCTGGCCCTGCCCATCTTACGCTGCTCAGGCAGGGTCTCTGGGGTGGGTGGGCCAGTGCCTTCCTCTACATCACCGTACTGAAGCACCTTGTGGTTGGGGGACAGGCAGCAGAACCACAGCTTGTCTTTGTTGGGAATAGGAAAGAGGGAAAGAGTGATGAGAAGAGCCCTGACTGCAACCCAGCCACACCCCAGCCCTCCTTGGCCCACTCAAAGACCCTGGCGTCTCCGACTGCTGATCTTGTGGAAAAGTGTTCCCTCACAGAGGCGGAGCAAACGTTGCTGGCGGATCAGGCCCAGGAGCTCTGGCTTCAGCTTCTCCCGCAGCTCCCTGGATGGGAGGTAGGGAGTCACTAACCAGGAATGACCTGGGACATGGCCCACAGGGTACTTGGTAAGATGTAAATTAAGACTGTGGACTTATACCAGCAACTCACAGAATGGGAGGGGCCAATGTGCCCTCCAAGTGTAGCCGTTCTGTCTGCCGCAGCCGCAGCACCTCCCCATAGGTTAGTGCGTTCACCTTGGTGCGGAAGAGCTCCAGGGAAGTGGGCTTCAGGGCCAGTGTGCGGGCCAGCTGCTCCCGTACCACCTGCATGACCTGGAGCCACCTCAAGTTCAGCAAAAGGCCTGAGCTCTGGGCCCCTTTCCCAGAACAGCCCTCTACCCTCTCCCAGTTGCCACTCCAACCTTGTCAAAATCCTCCTGTGTAGCCCGCATCTCCTTCCAGGTCTTGTTCAACAGCAGGATGGCTACACAGAAGAGCTCATGGAAGCTCTGGTCTTGGCCAAAGAACATGGGCGAGAAGTCCTGGGCTGTCTCAGAGCCTGGAGCGGGGGGGCAGGAGGGGCTCAGGGAGAAAGTGTGTGCATCCCCTGGCCCTCTCTGCCCTTCCGTCCCCTGTCCCTGCACACACTGTGCCCAGCCCCACTCACAAGGCTCCCCAATGTGGAGCAGCTCACACAGCAGCAGAGTCAGCTGGATGCTGCTCCGGGCAAATGGGCATTCATGCTTGTCTTCACGGCTGCTGTTCTCCAACACAAACTGGGATGGTAGGAGCAGAGAATGGGGCGTCTCACCTAAGTCCATGGGGACTCTGCTAAAGGAGGGTGCTGCCACCCCTCTCTCTCATTCTGTCACTGACCCGGCTGTATGCACTGGGCGCTTGTCTGGAGAAATAGAGCATGTTGTCCAAGGCCAGCAGGCCAGGAGGCACACGCTCCAAGTCCTGTGCTGGGTTGCTATTCTGGAAGGGTGGGAACATAGGCAGCTCAGAAAGGGCTGCAGCCCTTGAAACAACCACAGCCTGAAAGAAGTTGGGGTGGGAACTTGGGTAGGGGTCACTCACAGAGAAGCCCAGTTTGCGGAATTCTCGGGCACAGAGGGAACGGCGACGGTCAGCACTCAGCCCAGTGCCCAGGGACTCTCCCTCTGGCTCAAAGGCTGCCTGGCGCAGGGACTGCAGCTGGTCTCGCTGTTCCTGGGGTCATTGTTTGGGGAGGGGGAGGGTGTCAGAATGTTAGGATCATATATTTGAAATGGGGGTGTAGCTCAGTGATACAGCACTGGCCTAGCATGTGCAAAGCCCTGAGTTCAATCCCCATTATCTCACACACATGAAAATATCACAGATTCAAAGCCAAGTCCAAGCCTGTCCCCACCAAAGATATACCTGGCTGTAGGGGTCAACTGGTGTCCGCATGTGTGGCTCCAAAAGCCCCAGTGTAAGGGACTGCAGCACATACAGATGATGGGCCATCTCATCACCCAGTGGTACTGCACTGTGGATGATGCTCTGGAAGACAGGCAGGCTGTGGGTTCACTGGGAGAGGAGCCAAGGGGAGTGATCTTGGTGGGCCGGCCCTTCCTACCTTGTAGATGAATTGACGAAGGTTCCTTTGCCATAGGTAGTCAAGCATGTGCTGAGGTGGGTGGGAAGGGCACTTAGAGGATTTAATCCCAGAGTGGAGTAGAATGCCCATTAGCTGCCCCCTCCCCATCCAGTCACTGGATGGGGACTCACCTTACGTTCAGCATGGTTAGCTCCCTGCAGCAAGGCTGTCAACAATGCCATGGCCTTGGTTTGCAGCTGCTGATTCATCCTATGGAAGGAGGTGGGTAGGGATCAGCAGAACGTCCAGGGTCCAGCCCTGCTTCCCTATCTGTACACCACCCCAGAGGCTTACACCTGCAGGTGCACCAGCAGCCTATCCAGTGGCACTTCACTCTTGACCACCTGGCCTAGAGTAGGGCTGCTCAAGGTCACACTCTCCAGCAGCCGGAGGGCTAGGGGTTGCACCGAGGCATCCATCAGGTTCATGTTCACATAGCCCACCACCTGTAAGAGCAGTATGGGGTTGTCACTACCTTGCCAGCATGAACAGTCAGATCCTGGCATTTCCCTTTTGCCCCCACCCACTGCCCTTAGAAAAGCCCACCCACCTTCCTGACAAAGGAGATGCTGAGTGTCTCCCAGGATACCACACCATGCTCCATGAGCTCCAAGAAAGCCCTCAGTCCAAGGGCCAGCACCTCTCCTAGGCTGGGGGGAGGAGACACATCTGGAACTGAGCAGGACCAGACCAGGATCTCAGGCACCATCATGTACCCCCAGCCCTCTACAGCCCTGTGCTCACTCTTCCCCATCTTCAATGATCGTGCCTAGTCTCTGAAGCCCATCACGGCTGATGACCTCCTGGGCAAAAGTCATGTCTGAGGCTAACAGGACAAGGTGCCTCAGGGCTTCCCGGCGACCCTCACGACTGGCACTCTGCAGTCCACCCAACAGCTGTTCGGCCTCAAGGTCCTGGCCAGGGTGGAAACAGTAAAAATGAGGAGGCTGGATAGAGGGAAGGACTGAAAGCGGGCAGGAGTTCACTAGGTGGCGCACTGCTGAGCTTGAGGCCAGGACCTCCAGACCAGGGACAGAGGCCCACAGGTAGAAAGGGGTACAGCAGAGGGGCAGCCCAGAGAGACTTTACTGGGGCGGTGCTGAGACACAGGATGCTGCCATTCTTGATTTCCCCGCGGTTCTGGAGGAAAAAGAGGAAAGGGAAGCCAAGTTAAAGGGCGCTTTGAGGAATGTTCAACTGGGTTGTCATTGAGGATTTGGGGGTTAGACAAAGAAAGTTCGCATTCGGATAAGAGGAGGATGAGTCTTTGGAATCAGGGCCAGGTGTATGGAGGGATTATAGGGTAGAATGTGGGGAAAGGACACTCACATTCTCCGTGATGTATCTCCTATGCCCGTCAGCAAACTGCAGGGCGTAGCGCTCGGAGTGAGTCAGGCTCCACCTGCAGGGCACGGAGCTCAGGGAGGCTGGCAGGGGCGCC